GCGAGCGGCCACTGCACTCCACTCTGGGCGACAGAGTGAGACTCCAACTCAAAAAAAAAAAAAAGAAAGAAATTCAATGACTTGCATAATGACAAACTCTGAACAAGTTGGAAATGCTTTCAATTTTAATGTAATTTTATTAATATCAATACGTTACAAAGTTAAATAAAATTTGGCAAATATCAAATATTTAGGTATCAAAGACATTTTACCATAAATACAAGATTTTTGAAACAGCAATGCATATGTTTCAGCTTTATACATCTTTAAGAAAGCAGTGATCTGGAATGTCTATCAATATAATTGTTTTAATTTAAGAGTCTTTCAAAAGCGAAATAGTTTTTTTAAAAAATCTCTAGTTACTCAAGGAATTTTCTGGAGTTATATTTGTTTTCTTGATGAAAACAATGCAGTCTTAGTTCTTTGGAGCTTTTTTCTTTTAAGGTGGAGAAGACTGTCCAATACAGCCATCTGTCAGTCATCTTTCTTAGCTCAGTGATGTCTCAACAGGCCAAGGAGTCTACATCCCTGTCCTGATTTCTTGCCGGTTTTGCAACTGCCTTGGAAGTCACGTTGCTAGGAAGGTATCCAGTAGCCAAAGCGGCGTTTGCAGCCACTTTATTTGTACTTTTCACGATGTTTATTAGCATAAAAGCCTGTAATCATATAGTTGAGTACTATTCACATAAAGAGGTTAGTTCTTGAGTAGCAACACACGAAGAGGTTAGTGCTTGTTATTCACTGACATAAGACTGTTCTTCCAGTTGCACCTTCTGCTGGGCACCTCACAATTGCCCTAATCTCTAAGGGTGCATAATTATCCTGGCAATAACATTTTTGCTATTAACCAAAGAACTGGAAGCATGAACTAAGTCATCACAGGATGAGAAAAGCGTGAAGCAAGGTGCCTGCTGCTCACACTAGTCGAACCATCTGATACAACAAAGATGAGGGGATGTTAGGGCATGAGAAGGAATCAACCACAAGAGCGCTGAAGTTCTATGGTTTCATAAGGCACAGAGTACTTATCGCAAGACACCAACTGCAAATCAGTTTCTAAGAAAAGTGGCATCATTAGCCTGTTATTGTCTATTATGGTGTGTGACATCTGTGTAGAAATCATGATAAAGACAAATATAATGATGTTGAGCTTGCCTTCTAATGGAAATAAAAATCATCCTACAAGCCAAAGTCAAAGGAGGCTGAGGAGATCATTGCAAACAGGAAACAAGATCTGGGAGCTCAAGTTTTCTAATTCAGACCAACATTCTCATTTTAAAAAAGGTATAGGCTCAATTATCTGACTCGCTAGTAGTTTACATAGTTAACGTATGTCATTATGACTCTTCTAGAGTTAGTTAGACATTGATAGTCTCCTAATGTTTTTAAACCATTCATTTTACAAATGCTCATTTTTTTTTTGGTGACAGTATGACTGCCCATATCACAAGTGACATCAATAATAATGGTAATAGCAGCACATGCTTTTGAAAGGTAATCTCCCACTTTAAATTTTGATATTACAGTTTATTCTGGGTGACATACGTTTTCAACAACAAAAAAGTGAACTACTAGATTGAAGAAACTGCAAAATTGGTCACAAATGTTATTTATACCTGTTAACAACTGAATGAAGAATCTGTCAGTTTACTTTTTATTAGTGGCAAAATGATACCATTTATCTACAGCACCCAAAGAATGAATCACATTTTTTATATTCCAAATTTCAGGGGATGTAAGATAATAATCCCACAGTTATTGAGAATAATGAAATAATATGAGTTTTAAAAATTACAACAGCAGTCATTTCAGTGCAAGTGTATAGATTCAAAATCCAGATCAAATATGTTTTAAATTAAACTATGCTTCTTTTGTAAACTTGCTGAAAATGACTGCTGTGGAGACTTGGATAATTCAAAGAAATCAAGGAAACTTTACAATGCCAAATTACTTTCTCTAAGAATATAAAATCTAGTACCTATTTAATAAAATACTTAAAATTTTTTCTTGCTTCCTTTATTTTTCCTTTCTCTACTAAATAGTTGAATGAGGGAATAACCAGTGTTTTGGTAAATAAATCCGTACTTTGCAAGCATATATGAGAAAAAGGGGGGGGGAAATAAAAAGATAATTAAGATGTTATTTTGTTCTCTGGTATCTGTCAACTTTTAATTTTTATAATTCAGTTCCACTTATAATTCCATTTATAATTCAATTGTGGGTGAATTCTTAAATTGAAAAAAAATGAAATCAAGATAAAAGCAAGAACTTTGTTTTTTCATAAATATCCAAACTGGAGAAAAAATTTCTGCCGCTAGTGGAATTATAGTTGGAAAATCTATCTAAGAAAGGCAATTAAGTTCTGGCCCTCCAAAACTGAAGGTAAGCGCCTTTGCTATTGACATATAGTAAAATTCTCTCATCACAATTTCTATTTTCTCCACAATTTTCACTCTTCCTCAGTCCTATTCATCTCTCACTGAGCCCCTATTGTCAAACATTAGAAAGCTTCCCCCAATTTACACTCTCCTTCTGCAGGGATTTCTATATTTCGTACTGCTCTTCCCTCATCAGCTCCAGAAGTGAGTTAATCAAGGGCTGGAAAAAGAAAGCCAGCCTCTGAGAAGCCCAGGGAAAGGAGTGTGTCTTCAGGAGTCATCAAACCCAAGGAGAAGAAAAGGGAGCTCCAGGAGAACTCCAGCATCATTTCAGCCAGTGGGGCACTATTATTACCTACTTTCATAGTAAAAGCAGTAGTGGCAGATGCCAGTCAGACTGAAATAGTTCTGGAGCTTCCTGGAATCAACTTAATTGAGTGAAGAGAACCCAACTCTCTCGCAGCTGCTATAACCGTCCATTCTAGTTTCCTTTACCAAATCTCACTTTTTAAGAAGAAAAGCTTCAAAAAGTAAAAATTAGTTGTGAAGATTGTTCTGGCAGTAGAAGAGCTACTTTCTTTCATTTTGTTTTTTCCCTAATTTGCAAAATTTTACTTCAATCCCCAGGAAAGTATAAAAGATGATTTGATTGTACTGAGACAATATGCTATACTTTTCCTCTATTTATAAATCTTTGTATGATTCATCTTAAGGAAATATATGTCTGTCTATATGTATACAGACTCACACATACACTTCCTTTGTTTTTTTATCTGTTAGTTCATGTAAAACATGAACAAAATATAATATTCTTTGAAAGCATATGCCAAGAAGGTGGTAAAAACTGTTATTTATATTCTGCACGTTCCAAAACACCATATTGCAAATCTTCACAAAACATTCTGGGCTATGTCTATACAACTTAAGCAAAGTGAACAGATACATACTATTTAGTGGATTTGGGTCTGTTCTAAGTATAAAACAGAATTTTCTCTTGCTTCAAAGATACATGCATAGAGGTTGGCCTAGCCCCAGATGCTTGAAGAGCTAACATTAATTTTCAGTTTGGTGTTAGGTTGACCAAAACCTGAAGAGGCAGAGCTTGTTTTCCAGAGAAATCTCAATACACTCTTGGGTTTGCTTGTTTTTTAATATTAATAATTGTGTAAGCAGCTGGCTCTAAAACTCTATGCAGCTATTGAATTCTTAGGTTACTTAGATGATAAAAAGTCCCATGGATGCTATTTTTTGAGAGAAAAAGTAGCGCTCCTCTAATAGTTTAGTGAAGTTCTCTAAAGGCAAGGCTTTCTGAGTATTTAGACAGATCAAGAAGTATTCATGGTCAAAACCAGGACCTCCTTATAGAAGCTAGCTTGAGCATGTACAAGGTGGAACAAGTTCAAAAAGCTTCTGTCATCTTCGTCATGGTCTCCTATATGCCAGAGACAGGAATAGACATTTGGGAAAAGAAAATGATAGTTAAAAATTTAAATACATAATTTATTTGAAACACAGATGTTCTAATTTTCCCTAATAATGTCTAAACAGAAGAACTTCTGCTAGTGACCTTACGTTATGTTAATTGTTACAATCATGGAATTACATAAGAAAACTGGGTTAGAAGTCAGAAGAAAAGGATGCTCATCCGTGCCTTACTGCTTCTAACCTTATGATCTTGGGCAAGTCAGATAATTTCTCTAAGCCTTGGTCTTCTCATTCTTAAAATAGGGAAGTTATCATGTTGGTTACTTAATAAAACTGTAAAATAATATTTGTTGAAACTATACAAATATATAAGATAGTATTATGATGACTATGATAGTTGGTAAGTAAGTTAAATATTTTGGCTGTGCAAAATTGAAAGAGGCTTAAATGTATCTCAAGGAAAACAAACAAAAAATGTCTGCTCCTTCTATTGCTTGGACACGAAAGTGTACACAGAACTACTCTGTCTTAAGCAGAGACTAGAAACATTTTACTGACACCTATGAACCAAAAACATTCCTACTCACCAGACATAATTGATTGCAGCATTTCCATTATAACATACGCAAATGTATTTGCCACACTTTGCAGGAAGTTATTTCTTTCCACTGGAGTGTTAAAGACTTTACAGACTTTTTGCATCATTTTGACTGCCCAATTCATGCAGTATAGCTCTTTCTCACACACCTGATTTAGACATACAAAGCACTGTAACCCTTCATCTGAAGAAAGTGAAAGCATTTGAAAATAGTATTGAACAATGATGGTTTATGATTTTATGCCATTTATTATACTTCACAACCATATTGAGTCTCTAAATAGAAATGCTTTTATATTTAATGCTTTCAAATGGTACAATTTTAGTGGAAAAAAGTGCAAAGTAAATAAAAGCCTGGGCCAGGCGTGGTGGCTCATGCCTATAATCCCGGCACTTTGGGAAGCCAAGGTAAGAGGACTGCCTGAGCCCATGTATTCGAGACCAGCTTGGGCAACTTGGCGAGACCTCATCTCTACAAAAAATTAGCCAGACGTGGTGACATGCACCTGTAGTTCCAGCTACTTGGAAGGCTGACTTGGAAGGATCACCTGAGCCCTGCAAGATCAAGGCTGCGGTGGCCGTGAGCATGCCACTGTACTCCAACCTGGGCTAGAGAGTGAGACTCCGACTCAAAAAAAAAAGCCTGGATTAAAATCATCATAGAATATTTTGTATTAATGCAGGAGCTAATGTTGAAATAGATATTGGACATCTAAGAAATAAGACTACTTCTCATTCACTCATGTGATAAATATGTACTGAGCTGGAGATGCAATGACAGGTCATAATGTCATGGCTCTATTTTCAAGGAGTCCAATGAGGGTGACAGACAAATGGGCAATTTCAAGAGGTAAGATAACTCTAGGTATTACCAACTTTCCCTCTTGAGAGTTTGGGACTATTTGTTTTTCCATAAAGGATAAATAATTGACAGGGCACGGTGGCTCATGCCTATAATCCTGGCACTTTGGGAGGTGAAGGTGAGAGGATTGCCTCAGCCCAGGGATTTGAGACCAGCCTGGGCAACTTGGCGAGATTTAATCTCTACAATAAATTAAAAAATTAGCCAGGATGGTGGTGTGTGCCTGTGGTTCCACCTACTTCAGGCTGAGGCAGAAGAATCATCTGAGCCCAGCAGGTAGAGGCTGCAATGACTGTGAGCGTGCCATTGCACTCCAACCTGGGTGACAGAGTGAGACCCTGACTAAAAAAAAAAGACAAATATTTAAAGTAGAGATGACATGTTCTTAGATAAAAGTGACTGAAAGGTAAAATGTTTACTTACTAACATTCTTTTTTTTTTTTTGAGTTGGAGTCTCACTCTGTCACCCAGGCTGGAGTGCAGTGGCCATTCCTGGCCACTGCAGCCGAGACCTGCTGGGCTCCGGCGATCCTTCCGCCTCAGCCTTCCAACTGC